GAGTTGCCGCCATGTGATTGGCTGATTGGAAATTAAGTGTTAATGAGCAGTTGGACAGGTGTACCTAATAAAGTGGCCGGTGAGTGTATATTTTTGGACATAAAGACCACAGGGGGTGCTGCAGCAGRCAATGAGACAACCATGGGAGCTGCAGCAAGCATGGAGACCACCGTAGAGACTGCAGCAGGTCCCTAGGTTCAATTAATGAACCTTCATGTCCACAGGGTCGTCCACAAGTCTGTCTGCGTCCTGGGTCCATTTGCTAACAAAACTCACAGAAATAAGTAGAACCACTAGTCCAAATATATACCATCCAACTACACAGAATGCTAGTTTAAACACCTACGTAAACAATATGTTGTATTTTTTCACACWAAGCAAAAACTATCAACCGTAAATTRTGAAGGTCATTCAGGCCATATATACATCTACATACATATACAAGCATTATCTCTCACATAACATATACACTAGTTAATACGGAGCCATCTCAGATGCCTTGTGTAGAATAACATTTTCCATGCTTCCGCCTCATCTTCCACTCATGCTGAACTCGTTGAAGGTTTGTTCGGCACATTTGCCAAAAACAAAAAATAAATCCTACAACTGCTAAAATCTTACATCACTTCATGTTTGTTATATTTTGTGATGAAGGAAGTTGCACTGCACTCCATCTCTTCTTCAGAGATYTTCATGTTGATTCCTTCAATGTTCACAGGGTTTAGTTTGTTTGACAAATAGCAGTGTGAATGTGAACTGCACCAAATGAAAATGTAAACAAATCTTGCCATTTTGGTCCCCAACTGCACTAAGTCTACCAGATTTTCAGTTGTGAATACAACTTTAGTGATTGACTCAAATTAACTTGATTCCATAATGTGAACCTGATTTACCAGCTCTAATATACAGTAATATTAGGGGTCAGCATGGCCGGGGACTTTACCCATGTAGACTTAAAAGTGGTGCGCCACCAACACCACCAACATGTCAAGTGTGCTATCAGAGGAGCTAACATTTTCTCCAGGCAGTTCGGTTTCCTCCCAACAGTACAAAAAGAATGCATGTTTCAGGACTAGGCCACCCTCAAAAAAAGATGTGATCTCMATGGAATTTTACCTGGTGAACTAAAAGTTAAATTAATAAAAACAAGCTTGCTTTTGTTGATGGTGTAAACATAGGTCTTACTTGAACAAATAGAYCTTAAGAGCAAACCTGTCACCTCTTTGTCTCACAGTATTCTCACAAAATGCTTCAGGGAAATCAGTTATAAGCCTTCTATAGATCCACTAAGCTTGTAGACATGGAGAGTCAAACTCCCACGACCCCATTAGCAACTCTGCAAGGGTGAAGGTCTGGTATGAACCATATCTTCATACTGTCTCTGGTAAATTTAAATAGAAAAATGTCRGTTGGAATAAGGACTGCATTTTGTAAAGTTGGAAGTGTTTACTGGTTTTGCAAGGGTTRTTTTTAGTTTTGATAAGATAAGTAAGTTCAAACACTGCAGAACACAGCTTGATTTAATACAAGTATTTACTAATTAAAAGGTCTAGCAATCCTTGAAGGAATGCAGTTTTTCATRTATTTGCTGCTTATATGCCAGGGTTTGAAACTTAGACCATTTAGACTTAGATTATTTTATGATGAGAAGAAATAAAGTTATAGCCATTTAGGTCAAAAAAGACATTTTCCACATGCTTGGGGCAGGGCCGGATTAAAACTTCGCTGTACCCTGGGCAACAATATTCAAGGGCCCCATCATCACGACCCCAGGATTACCATAGTCTGGTAAATACAGA